GTAATTGTTTTAATCCAAGATTAATGAGTTTGCAAACATAGATATGTTATAATTAATAGGCAGCGGAAAAACACAAGCTCATCTTTCACCATGCCCTGAATGTTCAAAGTGAGACAAATACTGGTCCTGAAGCCTGGTTTCTAGGAACAGACTGAAGGGACACAAGCCAATCTGCCAACCATAGTCCAAATCAGCAGAAGTTTCAGTTGCTACTATTTCCCACATGTCTCTGCTAGAAGACTACTGAGTCTTCTTTGTTTTATTAAGTGACCAAAAACAAAAGAAAAAAAAACCAGTTTCTTTAAACTGGAATTTGATATGTGAAAAAAAGGAATGGAATGTCCCCTCAGCAGAGTATTATTTATGAAAGGAAACATATTTGGTTTTGGGAAGAGCACTTGAAATGATCTAAAGTGACACACAAGCAAATGCCAGAAGTGCATATTCACTTCTGAAAGCTGTTTTCCTGAACCTCAGTGTTTATAATGTAATTCACAAAAAAGCAGTAATATTATTGATAAAAAACAGCGTATTATTGAGAGCTTAAAAAAAACTTAAAAGTCTATTTTGTGCATGCACCCTTCTGAACCCTCTGGACAAACAAGGGTGGATACTTCTCTGCAGATTTTTGCTTTAGTTGTGTCAAATTACATAAGTCACGGAGGAGTTCTGCTAGTCTCACACCATGATACTTCTGGTGTCATCTCTGGGATATTCCCATGTTCCCGTAGCACTCAGGAGTCCAAAACCAGGAAACTTAGGACCAACAAATCAGACCTTCAGCTTTCCATCCTCTTTGCATTGCTTAAAGAGCTCAGAAGAGAAGAGCCAAAGGCACTGGGGATCTTAATTAACACCTTTTCCTTTATTACTGAACCACCAGAGGAAGGTTTAAGTGTTGATAAGAGCTGAAATTGGTGGCTATTGAAAAGAGATCAGAATTCAAATATACATCAAGTGACAGAGAAAACTGGTTTTAATGTCCTTTAGCAAATCTTCTGTATCAGAAACCCTTCTAGCAGGTAATTCCTGTTTCTTAAAAAGGCCCATCATTTTTAAGACCCTGATACTAAATACAATAAGTTATCAGGAGATAAATAAAGAGTATGAGCCAGCCCATACTCTAGTATGTAAAAAAAAACATGTACAAGTCATAAAAGGATATGTAACAAAGACATCCTTGTTTGTGTTGTTGATCAAAGAATGGTTCATTGTGATACAGAAGATGTGTACAATGTGGCTTTAGCATTGCAGGTAGATACTACATCCCTTAAACTTAATCTGGAATTAATATTCCAGATACTGACTGTTTACCCATAACAGGAAGGGAATCGCAGCTAGAGACCCTTTTAATGGTGGATAACAAAGGTGTGAACAATGCTGGAATTCAGTCTGTGTTTCACGGAAGAGCACTTAGGGTGAGATTAGCACCTCTGGGAGGCAGGTGTCCCTGAGCTCTCCTTCCAGGCTCATCAGTGATCTTTGGTGCCTGCTGTAATGGAAGGAGGGTTTTAAACTCTGGCCCCGAGGCCAAAAGAAAGCACTTAAAGATGTACTTATCTTGAAGCATCTAAATAGGGCAAATCTGGATAGAATCCTAGTGCACAGTACTTTTTTTTTTTTTTTAGCGATTCTTACCATGGACTCTAAATCTCTCATTTCCTTTGAGTAATTTTGTCAAAAATTAAGAAAAATAGAGCATTTATGGACTGCAGCATTTTGATGTCAGGATTGCAGTTTTGAGTCAACTGAATGTTCTGCTGTCGTATCTGCTTTAGTACTTTTCATCTGCTGATCTCCACATATCTTTTGCTTTAATAATTTTTAACTAGATTATTAGGGGGGGGGAATCACCCAACTACATTACTGCAGTTTCTAGGTTTGATAACTGCCCAGGGAAACGAGGCTTTTCCCCTAATACCTGTATTTCCTCCTTTTTCCTTTAGAGACACGAGGGATTGTGCCATGTGCAGTGTTACTGAGGGAGAGCACACACATTATCTCTTGGGAGCTGCAGGCAAAGTCTTCCATGTCTGTCACTTCCTACAGGTTTATAATTCGGGCTGATGCTCATCTCTTTTTTTTTTTTCTGGGGTCCACAGTGTCAGTGCTGGTGCAGTTTTTGTCCTGTTAAGTCAAGGAGGTGATAAAGATCGATGAGTTCCACACTTACCAGGGATCAGGAAGGTTCTGTTTGCCCGAGGGCTTCATTTCCTCTCAGCTTTATATAACTCCAGAGCAGTGGTTATCCCAGCAGGCAGCTCAGGCAAGGAGGAGCAGTCCCCAGGGACCCTGCCCGGCTGCAGCAGTGCTGGGGCACAAACAACAGCAACTGGTTCCTTGGTTGTGTTTGTCACAGAGAATTACAGACATTTCTTTGGCATTAACCCTAATTAAATGCACATACTCAGAACAAAATGCTGGTAGGTTATTGTGTATTTTGACTAAAATGCTCTCTCTCAGGAGACTGCTCTTGCTTTTGCATGCACAATTGCTTTTGCAGTTTTACCTTTTCTTTACCTTGCAGAAGGTAAATAGTCACTGGTATTTGTATAGCAAGAAGTTGTCTATTTTCTGCTAAAATGAACTAGGTTTTAAATACTGTAAATCTGTGATTTCTTAAGATGATCTATGCAGACAACTGAAGCCAAATATATTATTTATGAAGATTCATCAAGGAGACTGTAGCAGTTCACACTAGAAATTATAAATATGCAGGAAATTTGAGACTGCTGGAGTTTATGTAGGCTAAATCCTGTATATTTCAGACTGTTTTTCTGACTTTTTTTTCAGCTCCTTTACCTCCCATTTACTCCAGGTGAGAAATTAGCAGCCTTTCAAAACAAGTCCTGGGACAAACAACAAATTTGACCCTGGAGGGTGTGCAAAAATAAAGCAGGAGGAAGTAGATCAACTTATGAATGATTCATGGAGACAATGAGCTTGGAGGAAGTGGAGATGATGTCTGGGGAAATACGATGCAAAACATGAGAGCTTCCTAGCTACCAGGGGAAATGCAAGAAATAGAAGTACAAATCTGAAAGGGAAGGAAATTAATAAAGAGAACAGCACTAAAAACCTACTGGAGAGCAAGTAAAAAATTTGGAAAATAAAAGCTTTAAAAAACCTATAGATGTAGGTGGAATGTGGAAGCATACAAAGAATGGATAGGATACACAGTCTAATGCATACCAAGTCAAAAAGGCAAATAAAGCACTGGAAATATTTCCAGGGTTTCATCTCTAGGTGACAGATGTATTCAGTGTATTTGAAAAGCGAAGTCTTCAGTGGGTAAGGGAAGAATACAGAGCATCAGTTATTGCTACCTGTGTATAGTTCTTCATTTAGGAGAGGAAAAAAGGCTATAAAAATTTTAATCAAATCACCAGTGGAAAAAAGTGCAGTTGGCACTGATAAATGAAACAGTTTAAATGAAAGGTGGTGTAGGGGTCCATGTGAGTACAGAGCAGGGCTTTCACTCGTAATTGAGCAAATCCATTGTCGTTTATTTGGACGTGCATGCTTCATGCAGGAAAAAGGAAAGGCCTGGGCAGATGGAGGCCATTGAGGGATGAATCCCATTGCCATTTAAATAACAGAAAATATCCATGCTGAATAAAGGTCCCATCTTTCATGGGAGAGGAAGGAAGAACCAGTGAGCATGTCTAGCATATTTATAGCTTAAAACATCCTTTTCTTCCTCCCTTCATAATGGAGTCAGAACCTGAGAACTGCTGTGCAGCAGCTACTTTGTGTTTAAAGGGTAGTAGCTGTGGATTATTCTCTTTGAAAGGTAGTGGGTAGTTTGTTTTGAGGAACAGATTGTATAGATCTGTTCTAAACTGAAAATGGTAAGGAGCCTGAGGTAAGAGATTAATGGGGGTAAAACTGATAGGGAAAAAAAAAAATCAGTCCAATGGGTTTTTTTCTTTTGAAAGCTGTACTGAGTGATCACAGTGCTGTTCTAGTTCCCAGTTCTCAAGTTCCCATCCTGAGTTCTGCAGGTTTGGTTCCTTGTTGCTCCTTGCTGGGTGCCTGCAGGTATAATTCCTTCCCAGGAGGTTTGTACCAGCTGCAGTGTGCCCAGTCCTGATTCTGTGGCTGTAATGAACTCTCTTTGTACTGGAGAACTGAAGTTACCCCTCCTCAGGCGTTTAAGAAGAACCACACTAGGGACAAAGGTGTGACAACAGAAGAAAATCAGCCTTTTAAAAAAGAAATGTAAAAAAATAAACATGTGCACTTAGGGCAGTCCTTGGGAGGAGGCAGCTTTCAAAGCTCAGATGGTGCGTGCAGTCCAGCACATTTTCCAAATAAAAGTTTTAAACCAAAAGCAGGCTCACAGATGGTTCTAATGAGCTGGTCTTTGAGATACACTGGGACTTGAACAAAAATAGTTTAACTCCTAAGACACTAACATTTTGAGATGAGTTTCAGGCAAAACACTTCAAGAACAATTTTTCTTGTGTATTTAAATTTAATGTATATTTCTAGTCTCAAAAAACCCACAGTTTTTCAGGACCTTGCACTTGCCATTATGTGCTTTACAGTATCACAAAAGCCTTTTTACACAGGGACTAGTGCTTCTTTCTCCTGCACTTTTTAAACCCTACAAAGAGTTAGCTTTGAACAAATTGTTATTAAAAAGGTAAAGATTTGCTAGGACAATTTAATTTTTAAAGGAATATAGAATAGGACCCTACTAGAAGTATGACTCATCATTCTAGTAATAGAAGTATCATCAAATGATACTTATCAAAAAGTATCATCTAATAATAAATGTATCATCAAATCATCAAAGCTAGTTAGCTTTGTGGCACAGCAAGTATTTGTTAAATTGTATTGTTTATATTATTATCTGTTGCAAAAGTAGGAATTGATTTATTAACTATTTATGACATTGTGTGAAATGACAGTATTGTAACTTACAGTATCTCAAAACTATGTTCTCTGTGTCACTTGGGTTTTGAGAGAATTCTTACTTCTTTATCTCCTCTTAGGTCTGCCTTATGGATGGGAAGAAGCTTATACAGCTGATGGAATCAAATATTTTATCAAGTGAGTGGTTCTGGGGAAAATGGGTCGGAGTTGAAATAGAAGCACATCAAACTAAACACATTTTCAGTCCTAGAATTAATCGAAAAATTTATTGCACATTGCACTGTATGCTGTTTTTTTTCTAGAATATAGTGAAGATTAATTTATATCATAGGGGTTTTTTATTATTCCTGTAAAAGACTGAAGGAAATTGTGAAAAATATAATTCACCTCCATTCTATATATATCATGATCTAGTTAATAGTAAGTTATTCTAACTGCTGACATTTCCACACTGTTGAGTTCTTACAGGTGCCAGAAACACAGTTTTGCAGGTGGAATTCTGCAGTCTACTAAAAAAGAGGAAGGGCAGCAAATAAATTACTTTTATCCCAAACTCTTCTGAAAGTCACATAAATAACACTGAACTTGATGCATTAACTGGCCAAGAAAAGCAGAGTTTTTTCCCTTTTTTTTCAAACACACTGCTCCGTTGTCCTTGCCTCACCCCGTGCTGCCTCGAGCGAGATGTATTAAAGCAGACATGTTTTTTTCTGCAGAGGTTTCCAAACACACTGTATATGATCCTGCATTCCAGTTCTAATCAAAGGGTGCCTTTTATTTTCAGACAGATGTAGGTTACTACATGAGATTTATACAAAAAAAAAAAAAAAGGTAGAAAAATAGCTTAGGAAATGAAAGTGAATTAAAAGCCAATTTCATAACAATGGAAATAAATACAAGAGCAACTATTAAAATAGAGCACTGCTCCCTTGGGCTCTCTGTTCATGCAGGGAGCCATGACAGGACAGTTGGGAATTTAAGGTGGATGGTGGATGTTTTGTGGGTAATACTATGGCTTTGTACCTGTGTGACTGAAAACTGAGCTTGAAGATGATATTATCAATAATAGCAAATAAAATCTAGAATTAGAACAGAAGAAATGACACATTCTTGAAGCATCCCCCCGAAATTTTTTTGGGTTTGTTCCTGTGTCTGTCATAGTTATGTATCTCAATGGCTCAGCAGAAAGCTGGATTTGCTGGATATGTGCAGACATGTCTTTCTGAGCTCTGCACTTGGATGCTGAACCATTGCAGATGTGACAAGCAGATGCTTATTAGCAACAGTAGAATCTCATCTACTCTAGGTGGTGCAAGCCTAATTTGCAGAAAGCATCAGATGTTTTGCATCTTATCCCCACTTGTAGTCTGAAACTACAGATTGGAACTCAGGAGTTCACATGAAAAAGCTTTTTCAGGAATTTTTGTAGATCTCACTGTTAGTGGCTCTCTTCATTTGCTTCTGGTGACAGTGCCCAGGTTTTCCATTGCTGTTACCTTCTGTTATCTGTCCTAAAAAATTCTGCTGTCAGTCTTTGTGAGGAGGAAAGGCAAGGAAAATTTATCCATTTAATGGCAGAGAAGGGTGTGAAATCACCTTTCATAACCACTGGCTAAAAACTTCTTCTGAGTGGAGTCACCACACTGAAGTGATGTTAGAGTTCTTAATGCAGCTCATTAAAATGGAATTAACTGAGCATTTCAATAACACAGCACGGTAATTAATATTATTTTTAACTATTTCCTTGTTTTGCTTTCATCACTGTTTCCAAATGCCTTTGCAGAGTGTAAGCCAGGCTGTTTGCATGCCTGGCAATCCATACCTCTTACTACACTGTGTAATGTATATGAAATCAGCTGTCAACTGTTTGGAGCAAGGAGCATGGCTTGCACAGTCCCTTGTTTCTAATACCAATGGTGGAGATTTCAGGGTGAAAACCAACACTAAAAATATCCTTTTTCTAGAAGGAACTTAGCTTGAGGGGCCATCTTATCAGCTGATGCTTTCAAGTAGGATTTAATCTTAATTGTTTAAATGGGGATTATCAGAATAGTTGATAGTTCACAGCCCTGGTACTAATGCTGTAACCTTCTTGTTCTCTTTGGCTGTGAATGTCAATCCTTTTATTCTACTTTAGAATACTTTCATTCATTTTTAGCCCAGCCAAAGCCATGAGGGGCATAAGAGTATTTCAGCACTACCCACTTCCCTGTATACAAATATACAATCAAATGTTATTTTAATTAGCAGTTGCCTTCAGTTCCAACATGCTTTATTGGGCCATCAAGTAGCTGAGTCCATAAATCTATACATTATAAATCAAATGCAGTAAACACCCCAGAAAGGAATCTTAATAGCACATAAGCTTGAGACAGCTTGCTGTGAAATTTCCATAAATATCTCTGAAGGGGTGTAGCAATATGAGGTGCATGAGAAATCAGAGTTTAAAAGAAGCAAACCAGCTGGCTTGTGTTACACACTAAAGTGAAACCCACTTATGTGAATAATTGACATGAATAAAACATTTACATCGGGCTGAGCAGCTCCCTGTACCAACCAGGGAAAGCTGAATCTTGTCCATGAATCTTGACTTCAGAAAAACTTTTGAAATCACCACTTTTATCCAGCAAATCATGTTTGCCTCAGTAAATTATTTCCAATCAACCAGACTGTCAGGAGTAGTCAGTGCTGCAAGTGTGAGAAACCACCCTTTAGACTGCTAAAACTGACCTGAGCCTGGGCTGGGCATTAAGGTCATTTTTATAGCTTTGCCATGGAATAGCAAACTGGAATGGAAGCCCCTCTGAGTTACAACTCAGTGTGCACTAGGAAAAAAGCAAGTTCAAGTCTCTTACTAAAATAAAATAAATTAACAGTTATCAAAGGACAAAAATTCCAACAGTAGATAGGAAGTCAGCTTCATTGAAAATAAAACTTCCCTCCTGCCAGGTAGTAAAGGTGGAATTTGGGCCCAGATATGTTTTAAGATAACTTGTTGTATTTTAAAATAACGCAGAGGACAAGCACTGTTGTATTTTTGTGTAGCAGTACACCAGTCATTCACACATGGCACCAGATTCATGCCCCATCAAGAGAAACAAAGCACTGGTGCCTGTTTCCTCACCAATTTACATTTGGAATCTCAATCCTTTTTATACTGGCTGGGTATCCCATTCCAATGTTTAGTTGTTCTCACAATGAAGAATATTTTGTTAACCTAGACAAAATTTTCCCTGAAGCAACTTGTGCTCATTGCTTCTTGACTGTGCCCAACATCTTTATGAGAAGAGTGGGCTGAATAGACCCAATTCCTTCAACATTTCTTCATGTGCCAAGTTCTCCAACCCTCTCATCACCTTGGTGACCCTCCTCTGGATCCTCCCCCATTTTTCTATTCTCTCTTTTGAACTTGGAGGATCAGTGCATTGAAGAGACCCCACATAATAAGGTAAAAAGGTTCATTAATTAATTTTACTATGAGGTGATTAATGGAGGCATTTTTTAAGTTACTGTTTCTGTCCCAAACAGGCATTTCTTCTGTAAGTCCCAGAAACACAAAGAGGCTAATGAGCCCTCATAAAGTATCACCTACACCCAGATGAGTGTGAGAGCACTTACAGTCAGCTGGGAGGCATGAGGATGGAAAAGTTTTGTAAAGAGGGCAAAGGCCATCTTATTCACTTTTAAAGTTTTCATGTGGCTGGTTTTGCCCAGGCTTAGTTCAGGCATTAAATGAGTTTACAAAGTGTTGTGACCGACCACCACTAGAAAAAAACCTCACTTTTGCTGTATGCTCTAGCACTAAAATCCAGCAGTGCAAACAGTGTCTATTCATTCTACCACTGAACTGATTTTGTGAATTAGGAATTTCTGGGTTTGATTTTCAAATAGATTAAAGAGTCTATGCAGAACTGCCCTCCCAGGAAGGCACCACATCTCCTAATTAATGGTTTCATCCTGCTAGTTTAAAATCACACAAGAACAGCATAAAACCCCGTAGCTGGGACACACTTTTTTTCGCCAGAAAACCCATTCTAGTTAATCTCTTCCATCCTCCCACTGTGTTCACCTTTAACATATGGCAGCTCTGTATCATAAGGCTGGCACCTAAAATTAGTCAGGCCCTTGCTATGCTCCCTCCTACTCCCACCCACTCCTTGCATATGTATGTGGTTTGTAAGGACCAGCTGTGAATTTTGCCCCTGTAAACACTGTTTCTATAGCATTTTAATAGGACTAGATTTCAAATATTCTACATTAACAGCATTTTCCTCAAGAATGCTTATCTTAAATTTTCACAGAAGACAAGTAGAAGTTCAAATATTTTAAATCAAATATTTTAAAACTTTGGGGATCTTTCCCCTTAGGTGTATTAGAGCCTGTGATGTTTTCTACCTTGCAACAAAGGGGAAACAGTAATGCTTTGTTTAGGGTAATCTTTCAGCAATTTATGTAAAAATCAGAAGTTACTCATGGAGGCATTGTGTACTTCAGGTTCTCCATTGGAAGGATAGAATTTGCTCCAGGTTAAGTAGAAGCCAAAGTCAATACTTAGAAAATACAGATTAGTAAAAACCATACATGATGTGTTCCAGTGGATTTTTAAATCATGCCTAACAAATCAGGTTTCTACTTGGAAAGCAAACACATTATATTTAGATACTATAACATTTTATTTTGTTTGGTCTTCCTTGGGAAAGAGACACCATTCACTTTATTGAAAACTGGGCATTCATAGAAACTGTTTATCATTTTAGCTGAGCTAAGAATAGCAGAGCATGTGTGATAGATGAAGAACTTCTGTAGTATAAACATTGGTGTTTTGCAGCACTGGAGTGAAAGGTATCATCATAAAAGGAAATAAGTCACAATTGATTTTACTTACTGCATGGTAACTTGAAGATATAAATTTGTTCTGTTTCTAAACATTTCTACTGCTTTATAAATGAAGGATGCAAACCCCTGAGGTGTGTTCAGCTCATTCCTGAATACTCTGGTGTATTGCAATATCCTGCTTATCTGCAGGTTATCTCTAGCAAGGGTTGTGGCCCTTGCTAGAAGAAATCAGTTAAGTTCAAATCATAGCACCCCTTATGTAGAAGTAAATTTCTGTATGTTCCACTTAGTTTTCAGTCACTTCAGAGTAGCAAACTTAGAAAACCCATGATCTGCCATAC